TTATTCCATGGACATGTCATATGAAAATTTAGGAACACATTCGAATATGGGACAGATTCGGCCATTCTGATTATTTTTTTTGATATTGAAAGAAAATAGACTATGTACTCTCATGTCCTTCGATATTTCCTAAATTTCTAATTTTATGGTAAAATGTCACAGAATTGGTCTTGTAGAGGGATTTTCCTTTACATTGGCATTGTTGTTTTCCTGTATATGCAATTATTTACTATAAGAAATCCATACAAAATAGGCTTGATTTGAAAATATTCCTTTTCCTCATACAAAAAGCTCCGAATGGAGAATACGATGTGCTCGAACCCAGGACGTACACGATAGAAAAGCCTTGAAGGACTATCTTGTTTCTTCACTCCTTGGTGAAACTCAAAGTGATTTCATCTACCATCGCTGGAAATCCTAGAGGGAAGTAAAACATACCTCTGAGTTTAAAGTTACACGTATGCATTATCTAAGCCTGTTTATAAGAGAACATATTTTTTTTCTTAAGCGGTACGGGTTTCTCGGCAACCCTCAAATGACCTCAAATTAGCCTCTTTCTCATCAATAGCCATTTTCTGACCCTGTTATAGTTGTCTGCATGTTTGGTTGGGGATTCATGCAGTATATTGCTGTAAATATACTTAACATATCTCAGTCAAAGACCGACATTCATCATTGCCTAATGACTAACAGTAAATCTTATTATCAGGAAAAGGTGAAGTTCCATAATCTTAGCATGGTCAATATCGTGCTTAGGACATAAACATCATGGGATTATGGTGTATATGCAGTAGAAAGCCTTAAATATGGTGAACACTTTTTCATCCTCTCAGAGCCATTGGGATGTTGATGGGGTTACATGCAGGCAGGACTTCATGTTTGCCTTCGGGGGATCCAGGCAAAGCAGAAGAGACAGTGACTACTTAACCCAAGCCAAACTCGACAAGCTGACCTGCCTTTTCAGAATAGAGGATTGTTGTAGTTTACAGAATTACCATATTTGGTAAATATATGGGTAGATGAAATCACCACTCAATAGGAGTATTTGGCGCTGTCGGTATTTGACTAGGAGAACTAAGATCAGGCTCTTCAGAGCACTGGTGATCCCGGTCTTGCTCTACGGGTGTGAGACCTGGACACTGAACAGTGCTCTGAAAGCCCGTCTTAACTCCTTTGGTACTAAGTGTCTTCGCAGAATCATGGGGTATACCTGGAGGGACCATGTGTCCAATCAGAGGATACTCCATGAGACTGATTCAAGACCTATTACCAGTCTGATACGAGAGCGCCAACTTCAGCTCTATGGACATGTGACTCGTTTCCCTGAGGAAGATCCGGCTCATAGGGTCATCTCCGAGAGGGTTGACCCAGGCTGGAGAAGACCAAGGGGAAGGCCACGGAACTCATGGCTGAAGCAAGTCGATCAGATCTGCCAAGATGTACTGGGAGTGGGAAGGAATGCTGCATGGAGGCTCGCTCGGAGGGACCCCAGGAGATGTAGGCAAAGGTTGGGCGCGGCAAAGCGCAGCCATGCGTATGCCCCCTTATGATGATGAAATCACTGGCAAGAGAGGTCATCAGGGAGTCCAGTCCAAGAAAATCAGTTCCCACACCATTAGAAAATAAATTTATTTAATTGTTGTCTCCATTATCTAAAAAAGGGGACAACACTCAAAAATAACTGGCAAAATAACAATTTTATTTTACTTCTATATGTATAATGTTATGATAACTAGGACTACTTTATAGAAATGTGTAATTGAAGTGACTAAAATGTTACTGTAGGCTAATTGTGGAAAATATTTACTTTTCCTTGTGTGTCATTATAATTCTTGGCTGACCTTTCGTCTTTGAATAGTTGTATTTAACTGAGGTTATTAGCTTATACAAATACATTTTTCCAGTTGAAATTCCTTCTATAGATATTTTTAATTTGATATTTCAGCTAATGTTGGCTTTTGTAACTGATAGTATTAATACAGTTAAAAGCAATTGTCTGTCAGAAGAAGTCTCCCCTGGCTCAAGTAATCTTCAATTTACTGTAAAATATGTGCAGTACTACCTGTTACCAAGACGCTTGTAGAAAGAAAATGTCACCGAGTTCTCAGACATTTCACACACAGTGGATTGGCAGTGTGTAGCCATCAGTCACACTTCATGTAAGAGTTAAACCAAATAAAATGTACTTATTTTTCATGTTGCATGTTGGGGGCTGTGAACATTTGCTATCGTCTTCCTTTTATGACAAAATAAAGATAATTCTAAAAATCTGATCTTTTTCTTTGATATAGTATTTTTTTAAAACATAAAACTAGTTCAGGAAAGAAAGGATACCAAAGAAATTTCCTTCTTATTTGTTTAATTAGCTCATCCTCCTCATGTTTACAAAAAGTGACTAGGGTAACAATATTTACATTTTGGCTAAAATATCTGCACTTTAGCAAGAACAGTGTTTTCCCCATCTAGGAAATGGAATGACATCTTTGATATTATTTACACCAAGTACGAACTGCAGAAATCTTTCAAATCCGACGCCAAATCCCCCTGAGGGAGCTCCGCCTCCGAAAGTGCGCAGATCAAGATACCATTGGAGGTTGTCTATGAGGCCGCGCGCATCAAGCTCTCTGCGAAGGATCTGAGGTCGGTCCTCTCTTAGGCCACCTCCTGCCACCTCCCCTATGCCTGGCAAGAGCAAGTCCACTCCCAGAACCTGTCAAGAAGCATCAAAATTTGAACTGCAAATGCACACTATCATGAATTAACAACTGAGTATTGTGCTACCTGTGAGAAAAAGTGGACATTAATATATCTGTTACTACATTTTTATTCTCGTTCTTCCTGTACCCTAGTAGGACTTTGAAAGATTGGCTTCAAGACAAGGATTGTAAAGAATTAGACACAATTATTAATGATCAAATTTAGTAACCTTACTCAATATAGTAACATGGATATTAGTCACCTTTTTCACTTTGTTAACAGCCTCCAGCATATATCCTAAAATAATTTTGCTTATTTATATTCAAAAGATCTATTTTTCAATAATAAAAAAAGGAACACAAACTAATCTGAATAAAATAAAGCAAACAAATACTAACCACATCAGAATCATCATCTCTGGCTCGCATGTAGAAAGCCTTTGTTTTCTTGGGCCAGTCAGTCACAAACACAGGTCTGTTGCCTGCATGTTTAGTTAAGAACAACTCGTGTTCTTTCCCAAGATCATCCCCTAAAGTTGGTTTTGTCTGGAACTGCTGAGAATTTTCTTGCAAGAGAGTCATAGCTTCATCATAAGTCATGCGGATAAAAGGCTGACTCAATGCTGCTTTCACTAATTCCTGTAAGAAAGAAGTGTATTTGGTGCTAGAGACAGGAGTGTAGGTATAGACAGGTTCAAGGAAATAATCATCTTATAACAAAACTTCTGCATCCATGTTCATGAAATCTATAAACGTGAAAAGTCAGTTTCATAAACAAGCCTTCATAAAATGTAAAAATACTGGTCATATGAAACACTTGTAGCATATAATCATCATCTTAATAATGTGAAAAAATATACTTATATATATTTACATACATACATACATACATACATACATATATATATATATATATATATATATATATATATATATATATATATATATATATATATATATATATATATATATATATAACTAAAACACTATAGAAATTAAAAAAGAAAACTACTACTGCACTGCTACTTTGTACTTACTTCCGTACATTCATTTTGTTTCCAGTGAGCAAATACATCCTCTTCACTTTTATCCAAAACACCCTGTAGGGAGGCTTTCAACAGGTCCTCTATTCTATTCATGAGCTTTTGAAGACCTTCTGGCCCACTGAGAAAGGCCTCCTCTGCTTCAACCATCCAGAATTCAGCTAGATGTCGCCGTGTTTGGGAATTCTCAGCTCGGAAAGCTGGATTGAAATTGTACACTTTCGATAAGCCACTAGAATTACAGAATAACATCGCCATTACTATAATGGACAAAAAAAAAAAAAAAGAGAGAGAGAGAGAGAGAGAGAGAGAGAGAAAAATAATATTTCTTGTATTTTTGTTATGTCTTCCACAATATATGAAAATTAAGCATTGTAAATGGGATCCTCATACTAGCATACTCTTCCTATCATTTCATACAGACTTATGTCGAGAATTTAGAGAATCAGCTGATTACCTTGCCATGGCCTCTAGATGCAGCTGGCCTGATACTGTCAAATATGCTGGATGGCCAAAATACTTTGTTGAGAGTGACCCCTGCGAACCAACTTCTGCAAAGAGGGGCTAAGGGAAAGGATCACTTTAGAACCATTAAAAAGACCAGGACCTGATTATAGTACACATAGGCTGCAACATTATAGTTTCATTTTTATCATAATAGCAGAAGACAAAATCCAAATTAACTGGTGAAATCTTACCTGAACCATAAATACTTCTCCACCACCTTCACAGTCATTAGCTGTCAAAATTGGCGTGTCAATGTTGATAAAATGCTCCTTGTTGAAGTACTCTTGCATTGCCAACTTTGCCTTTTATTTTATTTATTATTATTATTTTTTTAATATGGAAAGAAAAAGAAATACTATAAGGCATACATATTATTTAATACAGACTAATCATTATAAAATGATGAATATCAAATGTGGAATCAAGTGAAGTTGTGTCATTCATATAGAATTACAATTAGAAACAAAAGCTAAAACCAGTTGAAACAGAACATTCAAATCTGTAATCTTCTTCTAAGCAAAAGTTAAAGCTGCCTGTAAAGAAATAAGATTACAGAAAATGTGTATTTCACCATTTTGTATCCTGGACATAATTCAGTATGAAAATTCACGCAAAAAAGGAGCACAACAGGTGATACAGATATAAGGCAAAATTTGCAAAATGATGAAATGTCAAATTTGGAATGGAAAATCATTGGCCCTATATAAATATATATAGATATATATAGGCTCTGATACATGTTTAAAATGCCAAT